GTTCCCAGCCTTGTCGTGGTCACAAAGCCTCTTATGTGTCATCTCCCTGAGGCTTCATCCGCTGCTCCCCACTAAGCACTGCGGGGCGTGAGGCAGACGCCGCGGGGTTATTTTACTGGCTGTGCCGGTGATGGGCGGGCCGTGTCCCACCAACGGCCAGCTCCCCGGGACCTGAAGGGGGTGTTAGTTCCTGAAATGCTTCTCTGAGAAATTGGGGAGACACGGCAACAGGCGCTGTAGGTGAGGGTTATTAAGCCGCGTCTGGCACCTCGATCTGTGGCGTTCTGCCTTTGTAAGCACCATTTCCGTCATTTTTTTCAGAAGTGACCTCGAGTCCCCACCAGAATGTAAACAATAGGAGAACTTTATCTTGTTTACTGCTGAGAACAAGAAGGCCTGACTCAGAAGAAGGGCTCCATGGCTGTTTTTTGAATGAATTATGAATGAATATACAGTTTGTATATTATCCCCCCTTTACACATAAAGAAACTGAGGCATCAAAGGGAAAAACGCACCCCAGAGCCTCCCCCGCACCCCTCCTAGTCTGAGCTGGCACTGAGATTCACAGACCAGAGATTTCTTTGCCTTGTTACATCTCTCTGTTAATTTACACGTCTGAGGTTAATTACTAGATTAGTCATAATAAACTGGGTTTACGGCTATCATTTATTAGCACTTCCAAGTCACTCGTTGGTGACGCAGCACAAATTCTCTGAGTATGATGATGGAGTACCCAAGATGGGACCGACACGTCCCTTCCACGTCTGACCTCTCGGCTCACGGGTGCCACCCTGGAGCTCCTCCTTCTAGGTCCCCCACCCATTTTAAAATCCTACGGAGGGAGACGTGAACAGCAGGCATCGCCCACGGCTGAAGGTGCCCTGGGGGTACTTCCGGAGACCTGGGGGTCACCGGCTTCAGGAAGAAGCCCAGAGGCGAGGAAGCGGGTATGCCGAAGCAGGAGGCATCATGCGCCCGCCCGCCACGGAGGCGGGGCCAGGGGACCAGTGTGGCTGACACAAAGCCCCTGCTAAATTCCTGCCGAAGCCTCAGTTCCGACACCCGAGACGAGGATGAGCACCCCGACCCTCCAGCACGAGCGCAGGTGACGCGTGGGAAAGACCGTCCCTCGGTCGCTGCTGGGAACGGCCTCTCCGACGTCTTGCGCACCTAGCACGGCACGTCGGTCGTGCTCACCCGATCACGCCAGGTCCCCTGGGGTTCACGAATGGGACTCCTGTCTCCTTAGCTAAAGTCAGGGCAGGGCCTCTCTCTTCCCTTTCTGCTGCCCATCCCGGACGAACGGCCTCTCCGACGTCTTGCGCACCTGGCACGGAACGTCGGTCGTGCTCACCCGACCACGCCAGGTCCCCTGGGGTTTACGAATGGCTATTTCGGGACTCCTGTCTCCGTAGCTAAAGTCAGGGCGGGGCCTCTCTCTTCCCTTTCTGCTGCCCATCCCGGAGTGCCTGGGACACAGCTCAGTGTCCAGTGGACAATCAGGGCAAATGTCTGCTGAGTGACTTTGCTGTCCCACGGTGGCCGACGGCCCACGGCCGACAAGCGAGCCTGGTTCATTTAGAAGACCAGCCAGTGCCTGCTGTGACTGGAGGGCGGTGTCCGTGACCGAGATGAGGAGAAAGACGAGGCGATTTTAGAAATCTACCGTAAGTGGCAGAAAACGTGCTCTGACTAGCTTGAGGGGCTGGTTTATTTTTCCCACCGCAGGGAGAGCCTTTGCCGAGACAGCCACGGTCTGCCACCAGGTCCAGGCAGGCGCGAGTGACCTCCTGCGCCTACAGGAACAGAATCACCTCTGGGCAAAGCCACATGACCCACGCGGGGCTCCAAAGTGGGCCCTTCCCTCCCCTGGTGGCGGCCTTTCTGGAGCAAAGACGGATGAGCGGCTTCGCTGCTCTGTGAGAAATGCCCACGGGCCTCCTGGGAACGACGTCGCACGCTGTCTGCCTGCCCGCAGTCTTACATCTGGAAACGTCTCTGAGAGTTAATCCTCCGTGGGAACGTGAACGGCTCCGGAGGCAAGTGTTCATTCCTTTTTCCCATCGTTTGAAATTCCCACCCCCCTCTCCCCGAACGCAGACTCCCCATCCGTGAGGCCGAGCTCAGGCGGCCCCCCACCCGGGAAGTCCGCATGGCGCCTGCCCCGGAAGGAGGTGGGGGCCCACGGGACAGCCCGTCCCTTCCGCAGGCGATCTCAGGTGGACCTTGGTGGCCTGGCAAGAACGGTGCGGGCATTCTGGGCATTGTGCGTGTGTTCGGGACTGTGTGTGGCGCCCCCCAAGTCTGAAAGGAGGAGCCCCTAATTGAGAAGTGGGTATCTCACAATTTAAAATCTTGAAGAGTTAGTGATAAAATGAAAAAAGTTGATAATTAATCCACATCCAGCCTCGTCAGATGTGCCCAAGAGCACGGACACCCTGCGGCGTCCACCCTTACGAAAGACAAAAACTAAATAACGGAAAGCGGCGAGCACGAACTCTTTAACAAAGATTGAAAGAAAGTGAACACGATTTGCGATTGGCAAGTTTAATGAATCCATTTTACTCACGGTCGTTTACCGTCTGGAAAAAAAATCAGTAACTTTCTGAATATTCTCATACCTGAATGTGAAACTAATTCACAAAAACATACGTGATCCAGTGTCAAAAACTGCGGACATCAAAGAAATCTCCTGTTTATTTTTCCCAACAAAGAAAAACACACACGGTCCAGTGCTTCAGTGTTTGGGTCACTGGCAAATACTGTCTGCGTCCTCCGCACGCCCCTGGCTGTGAGCTCCGTGGTGCCCGCCGGGGGCCCGCGCATCGTCCGTGGTTCCTGTGACGCGCGGACTCGCACGCGAAGGCCCGTGATGGACAGCGAGGCGCCGTCACGGCGTGGGAAGGACCTCGGACAGCGCGCGTCCTCAGGGGGGTACAAATGCCCCCGCCCGTCCCCGCTCCTGCTCCTTCCAGTGACTCGTTCTTGGCGCTGAAGCCAGGTTGGGCTGTGGCGGGCGCACGGCTCCCCCCCCAAACCCTCTTTCATGATCCTGTTACGGTGCAGAAAGTAAAGAGAATGATTTCAAGTATTCGATTCCTATCAAAAGTTGGTATCAAAAGTAACAAAGGACCTAATTTCTCGATCATCCCCCGTTTTAGAAAGTAACTTAGGGGCGCGAGGCCCGGCCCCGGCGCGGGCCGCCGCGGTCACTAGCACCGCAGGCAGCGCGCGGAGGCGTCGGCGTCCAGCACCTCGACCATGGCCCGCAGCGTCGGGAACGTGTCCGACACGGGCGGCAGCGTCTTGTACGAAGGCGAAATGCTGAGGCGGAGACACAAAGCGGGGACGTGAACGT